GAGATTGACTGAAAATGATCGCTTTTGTCCTTAAAATTACACCGCAACAAAGGAGTTTCTTGGCCAGTGGCGTTGTGTGTGAGTATCCTTGAGTTCCAGGTGTGCCAGTAAGCTCGTGTCAAGCGAAAAACATTCCAATTGAATATCGTTGCACAGCTAATTCGGCATGACACTTCGTTGGCCACAAACGACAGCAAACACGGGGTAAAGGTCAGTTCAGAACGGGAGCCACTTCGCGCTGCCACACCGCCAAATCGCCAGCCAAACCCGTGCCAAAGGCATTCAGAACGCTTGGAACCGGTCGGATCCTCGAGCCGGCATACGACCGCAGCGCCGCCGCGTACATCCGAGATTTTTCTACGCTCGCCGATCGTGTGTGCCTCATCCCACTACCCCTCTCTAGTATGCGTCGTTTTTTGCGCCGCTTGGTGGCGGGTATGTCGACGGGTCATTTCTTGTTTTTGTACTTTATAAACTGCATTTTTTTTTTGTTTTTGATCTAAAATGCTTAACAAAAACTACTTTCATACATAATTGAAACGGTTCGCGACACAGGTTTTCTGTATTTCGACAAAAAAAAAAAAGAGCTTTTAGCGATTTTGACCAGTAGTAAGACCAGGACCAAAGACGTCACATTACACGCGCTTACTGCACCGCGGGTCACCCTCGTAGGTGGAGGAGGTTTCCGCGTCGTCCGGTTAAACTATTGACGCACTGATATTTAGTTAATCTCTCCGTGCCCGCTGGCTTACCCGAACCCAAGAGACGTGAAACCGCAGAAAAGGTAGAGGCTTAAATATCATTGCAGGGCCTTTTTAAGTGTTTTTAGAGCCATTCGGAGTTGCAGTTATAAATAGATAAAGAGTCTGAGGTAAAGACAGTGGGATAATTTGGAAAGAATAGACCGTTTTAGAAAATAACAGTTTCGGAGGTACTTGTCTGGAAATAAGTGAACGCGTGCCCTAGCGAGCGTGGACAGTCACTCGACAAAGCAAGCAAGATCCTGTTGGCTGAGCTGCAGTTACCTATATTGGAAATCCCCAAAATCTCTTTCGTTTCTACTCTGGCCTATGCCCCCCCCCCCCCCCCCCCTTTGTCCAAAGTTTGTTTTAAGACGTTACTTTCTTCCCTTTTTTAATCCCCGCATTATCCCACTCGAAGTTTGCAAAACTGGAAGTTACCCAATATTAGAACGACTTATGCTGAGCAAATGTAATCTCATACGCTTCCACGCCTACTTAATTTTCTTAGCTCCAAAAATATTGATCCCATTAAGTCATCAAAAGAAGTTATTCGAGAATTGTTTTCCAGTGCGTTTTTTTAGTAGTCCTTTGCAGAGCTTTGCGATGTATAATACCTTGTGTTTTCTGTGTATATATCTAAATGTATACATGTATGACATTTCAATGTTACTGCGAAAAACGTTAATATTGCCGCCCGATTACTTTTTGAATGTCATTGTGTCTTGTTTATTTTTGCATGTGCCACTGCTGTTTGTGTGAGAGGGGGCCGGGGACCCGTCAAGCTGCATGATGCAGCTTTTTTCCTCGGATGGAAAATAAAATAAACATTATTATTATTACTATTATTATTATTATTATTATTATTATTATTGTTTGAACGTTATAATCCTCGAACCCTGTCTTCTGGCAGGTGGCCCCAGTCCTAAAATGGTGAATTCCTGTGACAATTTCTTTTAAACATTGGAAATGTTTTTTGAGATAATGAGTAGGGAAAATACTGAGAAATGTAACCACGATAGAACAAATATTTTCGTTCAAATACATTTGCAAGATACAAAATTCCTACAAAAAATATTTAAAATACAGTATTTTTAGTAGAGTATTTGAGATAGGCATAGGGTTGTACAGTCGCCTGAATATTCTAGTAAGTACCGAGGGTCATTTTATTCTACGCGTAATAAATAATAAAGAAAAAAAAAGTTGCTTCTAACATTTAAAACAAAGATTATAACCAGCGAGATGGATCGTAATTTGAGTCCTAAATTGTCGTATATCCAGTGCTAGTCCGGCTGAAAAACACAATAGGTAAGTAAATATCCCTGTTAAATAAAAATAGGGAGGAGGAACTCTAACTACGGTTTGTTTCCTTCGCCACTTCTGAATTCATAATATACCTTCAGTAAAAAAATTAACTATCACTTCGTTCGTGCCATCAATTCGTTCAATTTTTACATTAGCGTGTCTAATTGTTTTCAAGTGTATTGTGCTGAAACATTTTTAAGTCCCGTGTAGAAAATCAGGTTTATTAAAACAAAACAAAAAATATTTTGAGCGTCACTTGAAGCAGCCTTGCATGCGATACAGTAAAGTTCCTACGATAGTAATTATTGTTTTGTTCGTTAAATTAATTGCTTTCCATTACCACCTTATTCTGCTTGAAATGACTTACTGTGAGCAACTCCCGGTGCCACATTTCTGACTTCCAACTAGAAATACAAAAATGATTTTAAAAAATCAGCGTTCAAGCAGTTTATTTTTTTCTGAACAACCAGAGCAGTACATTACATTTCACATTTCATACATTTCACACATTTCATACATTTCGTCTTAATACACATACATTTCACACATTTCACACATTTTCACACAAGATACATTTCGTCTTAATAAATTAAGCTTTTGAGATCCACAGTAGGAAGGCAATTTTATTTTTTCAGTTGTTACGCATTTTTGTACTCATTAGAATTGCTTATCATATTCAACTCCAAAGGGCATCCGTTATTCGCTTCCTAAAATACGTATTCTTTTGTTTTTTCGCAGGAGGTCGCTCGCAAATATTTCACACTGCGAGAAAAATGGTTAAGACTGGCAGCAGCATTTATCATCTTCTGTTTCATCGTTCTATTGACTCGTAAGTGGATTCATGGACGAAATTCATATGATAAAGCTTTGTATGGGACGCAGCTTAAATTTCGCGAGATATATACCTACAATACAAAGCGTTAAACGCGGTGTCTCCAAGGAGTACTTGCTTCTGCTTCACTCTAAAAATCTTCAGGATTAAGCAAATGTAAATCTAACCATATTTATTTATTTATTTCAATACTCTCAGGGCCCATAGTTCATTACAGAGGGGGTGGGGCATATAAGAATTTACTCAAAAGAAAATACAAACGTAAAAGGCAGTGATTAAAACCCAATCAATTCGAGAAAATATTAACAAAAGTGATTAGTAAGCGCTTCTTTAAATAAATCAAGTGATGGGATAGCTGCTAAAGATGATTGAAGGTGGTTCCACTCAGAACACTTTCCACTCAGAAGACGTTCTTGATGTGAAGGAGTGGTTGTATGCTGGGGGTGTCACGCAGTGAGGAATGCCGACCTTGAAACGATGATCAACGCGTGAAGAGATATATGCGGGGTTAGGGAATCACTTATCTTTTAGTGAAGCGTTGAAGTGATAAATTTTGTAGAAAAGACATATACGAGATATTTTTCGCCGTAAGGAAAGAGGCAGGGACAATGAGGTTTTCATAGATGATATACTAGCGGTGCGATGATAGTTAGAATAGATAAAACGTACTCTACAATTTTGAACAGCTTCAAAGTTAGTCACAAGCGTTGTGTGACCGGGGTCCCAGATTGATGACGCGTACTTTAATTTTGAACGAACTAGAGTTTTGTAAAGAAGCAATTTTAATGATATTGAGGCTAAAGCGAAGTTTTTTTTCAGATATCCAAGCATAGAGTTAGCGTTAGCAATAATATAATCAGTATGTGATTTCCATGAAACGTTAGAAGTAATGTGAACACCAAGATATTTGTAAGACGTCACAGATTCCAATAGGTTGTTTGTCTTACACAGATATTGTCTTCCACCGAGACTTTAAAAAATAAAAAAGTAGTACGTGGGGGTTTTGACAATTTTACTATAACTTCACAGCCGACACAGTCACCCTCGCCTCGAGTTTCTTAAATTGTCAGTGGCTGTAGCCTGCGCACGTCTGTGTGGCAGTGGCGGGGCAAGGACCGGACGAAGAGCCGCCGCGGTTCTAAGTCGGTCAACGCACTTGAAAAGTAGTATTACATACAAAAAAAAAAAACTTTAATGCAAACTTTACCGCCAATGTCATACAATGCACGGGGCTTCGGGGAGTTGAGAAGATTTTGCAGTAACTTCCCCTTTACATTCAACGAAGAAAATAACGTCACGTGACCCGGCGTCAGGTTACGTGGTCACGTGACCTGACGTTGCGGAGGCCTCGCGCAATACCTTTGCGCCGCTTGATGTATCTTCCTCTGCTAAATTTATCCGGGATATTTGGGCGAACATCAGGTCACGTGAGCTCACGTAACCGTGTTAAGTCAGGATGTCACGCGATCGATACTACGACGTCACGTGGCTTGAAGTCATGCGACTTGAAATCATGTGGAGTAAATTTCTCCGTCAAATTTAGGCGTAAAATTTGTAGACCGACGGACTGACAGGCAGAATCGCGGGATTCGGGGTTTCTGTTAAAAATCAGTCTTTGGTCTAAAAGACACTTTCTTATTTAAATATTGTAGAAACACCATAGTTATGATGTGCTTCTTTTCTCTCGTGTATATTTGTGTTTTTATCGTAGTTCCCGCTCTGGGAGGCGCACTCTTCTCTAAGGTGCACTTCCCTGTACGGTCGGCGCGGACTCACTGGAGCCGCGGACTGATGCCGCCAATCTTCGAAACCTCTTCGGACTGCCGGAAGAGCAGGCCATTGGTGGATTCTCCGCTTTTCTTTTTTGTCTTAAATGTCAATATGGCATACCTATTGTGCAGTAAAGGTTCATACGTATGAAAAAGACATATGAGTCTTACCGTTGTATCATAAAGCTGTATAAGTCTCACCGTTTTATGAGTTGTCAGATATATATTAAAAAAAAGTTCTTCAACGTATACCTTCGGAAATACCATTATTACAAAGATCCGTCAACAAACAGTTATGCGAAAGAATTGCATGTAACTATTGCTACTACCAGCTCACCCAGTGAGATCTGTAGGATGAATTTAGTGAAACGAAAACAAATGTGCGCAAGATCTGGCTTAGTATACACCACTTTGATATCGGTGGGCACGCGTATGCTTCCAGGAGGTCATCCATATTAAGGAAGGACGGCAGGATTTTGAATTGTTTTTAAATAATTCATTTCTGAATTGTCTCATTTACAGTGATCAAACAAAGTGTCCTTGGTCCGTCATGCAAAGTCATGTCTGAAATCCGAGAAGGTGAGTAGTAGTGCAAAAAAATTTCGACTTAATACTACGTGTAGAATTTGTGAAGAAACGTGCAAAAAGTCCTCATGCGAGAAGTACTGCCTTGAAACTCACTCATAAATTTCGACTGGATTCTTTCTGGTTCCCTGCAAAAACATATATAATTAACTAAAATCTTTTTTAAATGCGCCAAAAAAAACACGCGTGCAAAGAAGTAACGAAGAGAACAGGGCATGTCATGGAGTCACAATTTATTTTCACTTGAAGTCATCATCACATACCTCTGCCCGACCTGCATTAATCTGCCCGATGTTGACAAGACAGAAAAAAACACTGTTCTAAGAAACACGCAGCGCGATATACTGAATGTGTCACGAATGTGTTATACGAAATACCGCTTGACTGCGGGAAAGTTTACATGCGGCAAACGGCGCTGCTTCAATAATAGAGCACGAGAACCTAAACTTTGTTTGCGCAAAAATGGGGGGGGGGGGGGGGGGGCGGGCAATTTTGGTTATTACGTTAAGCGATGTGGCTGCACACCTACCTTGTAATCGACAAAGTAAAAAAAAAACGCAAAAACATATAATTAAGACAGAGATTGTTGATTTGTTTACTTAAAGGAACCATGAAACGATTCTGAAATAGAATCTCACACTTTACGTCGTGAAAGGTCTGAAAAGAAACACAAAAACACAAAAATAGGGAGCCAAAAAAATTATCCGCTATAGAACTTTTAAAAGAAAACTGGACTCTTTTGCGCCTTCTTTCCTTCGAAAGCTCTCTGCCTTTTCACTGCGATGCATCCGCGGAATCGCTGCACGTCAGCCGAATCCACGTCGCCTACTGGGTAAGAGCCTACGTCACCGCACCGCGGTCGTAAACAATAAATAGCCGGCGAATGTTTCCTAAAAGTTTTCTTAACTAATATTCAGATCTACATTTTGGAGCATAACTAAAGATGTGACGAAAATTGCCAAATTTGATAATGCTGACAGCCAAGCGCCATCTATCGTGTGGTAAACGGAACAGGGGCTGCAGGGTTGACGGGCCGACCGGCCGATAGCGTTGGGCTCAGTTACTTGACCGCGACGATCAAGGAACGTTTATTTTAGAGCGCAGCTCTTAGGCGCCCGTTTTCGGCTTGAGCGGCGTCGGCGTCGCCGTCGGCGTAACCGCGCGGTGCATTATGGGTAAATTTTCCCGAAGGAACCCGAGGTCCTTCGGGAGGACCTCGGGTTCCTTCGGGAGGACCTCGGAAGGACCTCGGGTTCCTTCGGGAGGACCTCAGAAGGACCTCGGGTTCCTTCGGGAGGGCCTTGGGAGGACCTCGGGCTCCTTCGGGAGAACTTCAGGAGGACCTCAGGTTCCTTCGGGAGGACCTAGGGGGGGTCACGTGACGATGACGTCATCAGTGATGATGACAATGACGATGCGGATGCCGATGACGTCATCAGTGACGATGACGATGGTGATGCGGATGCCAATGACTTCATTGGCATCCGCATCGCGACAGTATCCTGGGGGGGTCACCTGTCATCGTCACGTGACCCCCCCAGGACCTCGGGTTCCTTCGGGAGGACCTCGGAAGCACCTCGGGTTTCTTCGGGAGGACCTCGGAAGGACCTCGGGCTCCTTCGGGAGGACCTAGGGAGGACCTCGGGTTCCTTCGGGAGGACCTAGGGGGGGGGTCACGTGACCTGGGGGGTCACGTGACGATGACGTCATCAGTGATGATGACGATGACGTTATCAGTGACGTCACTGATGACGTCATCAGTCATGATGACGATGGCGATGCGGATGCCAATGACGTAATCGGCACCCGCATCGTCATCGTCATCATCACTGATAACGTCATCGTCACGTGACCCCCCAGGTCACGTGACCCCTCCCCTCGAGGTCACGTGATCTCCCAGGTCACGTGACCCCCGAGGTCACGTGACCCCCCCCTTTCCGAGGTCAACTGATCCCACCAGTACCCTTCCCTCCTCCTCCTCAAGAGCTGCGCTCAAATTCGGCGTTACAGGGAGTTGTAAACGGCTTTCATTTTTTCTACGTGTTCTTCTCGTGCGTCCCGACTTCAAGCAGCAAGAAAAAAGTACTTGAAACAGACCACGACGAACAAGAACCCTGGATCCACAAACACCCGAGAAAAGCCAGAACGTCCACGAATTCACCGAACCGCGACAAAGCGAGCTCCGCAGATAGGCCTAGCAGGCACTCCGAAGCAGGCACTCCGAATCCGGCGCAGCGTTGCTCCGACGGTACTTGGCGAGGACCGTCTGCCCACGACCGGCTGGCGTGCTGAAGGGAATATTCCCGCGCGACCCCTGTGGACCCATCCCGTTATTTGAACGCTGACCTCAATTTTAGATTAAGGGGTGAGGTCAATCTCTTCCCCTAGTTTTCCGAGGCAGTGTTGACGAACACGGTTGTCGATTCTATCTTCTTGGTTTGTGTGATGAATAATGCTATATGCACTCCGGAGTGCCGCTCGGCCGGAAATTGCTATACGCACTTTGTCTCGTATAAAACGAATGGTCAGAACGAGTTTTCAAAGCGGTGGCATAGCGTTTGGGTTAAGGTGTCCGCTCTCTGCACAAGTGGACGCGGGTTCGAATCGCGATGAGCATACTTTTTTTTTTTCTTGAACGTTGTTTTGTCGAGGCATTTGGCGATATTTATATTTCGTTTTTGCGATGAACACTAAAAAAAAACACCGAATGTTGTCGCCGAAACTTCGCAGATCGGGGACAGCAGAGCTTGGGTTGCCGGCTGGACGCCGCGAAGCGGCGTGTACTTGTTAACTTTTCTAATTAGCAACCGTATACTGTCGCCGCGAAGCGGCGTGAACGCAGGCGGGGGGCTGTGTTAACGAGCTCCCCAGCGATACACGCGCAGTTCGAAAAAGGGTGGCCCGAGCGGCATGAGCTCTGCGGGTAGTGCGTATAGGAATTTCCGTCCAAAGGGCACTACGTAGTGCATATAGCATCGCTCTTGTGTGATATAGAGCTTAAATGAACGCCGTATTGATTACCTTTGTAACACGGTATGTACAGTTCGTTATTAGTACGCCATTTTTATTTTGACAGACTGCACGTCACTGTCGAGCTGTAACAGTTCGTGGGAGCTACGTGCAATGCCGGTCCAACCTTCCTTTGCCGAGTGTCGCGTCAGTATCGAGTCGCAATCGTGAAAGATCAGTCCCGAAGGGCTTACCAACAGCGCGAACACAGCACTTCCATGAAACGCGCACGTCCGCTCTGAGTGTGAACAGGTGTTTACGTGGTTCTTGCTGACACTTTCGTAGTTCAAACGTATCTTTTTTCAACGTCGGCTCGCTTCTGCATCTCCGAGGCCGCGAAAAACGCCGCGGCTATTTGTCTCTATCTACGTCGCTTTGCAAACGACTTACACGGGCCGCCTTTTACCAACAATGACAGTTGGGTTGACTTCTGGAGTCTTCACCGGAAGACTCGCCGCACTTCTCAACAGGCATACCGGCGTATCGGACTAGTCCCATGCTGTCGCTGTAGCGCAACATATCTAATTGAATCTCGCTCAGCTGCGATGTGTCCATGGCTATCGCGGCGATGAGAAGCGCCGATTTAGAAAATACATCGGTGACATCAGCGCCATCAGCGCAGTAAAACCTACCGACACACCGCCAACTCGCCGCCGCTAACTGCCGCTAACGCTCCCATTCTCCTACTTCCGAAAGAACTTCCGGTTGCCGAAACAGCGTACGTCACGACCGTCAAAATTGCGCCGCAGCTTGTTTCGCGGTCAGTTGGAGAGTAAGAAATAGTCGATGTTTCATTAAGTTTTGTGTAGAACTTAATAAACCGAGATAAAAACGGATGCCTGTTCGGCATTCACTGAACATTGACGATTTAATGTAAAAGTTATCTGGGCAAAAGCAAAAAGGTACTTCATCGTCCCTTTAAAAAAGAAGTCACGTGTCTGGACGGCTGTTTCTAAAGGTAATAAATGGTTGTTCATGCGGGTTGGGCAGAAATGTGTGTGCATATACGTGACAACAAGTTCAAATAAAAATCAGCTGATAATTACCGCTTGTCATGTTGTCTTCGTTTAGTCTGTGCCATCGTTTTGGCCCCGTTTTTTAAACACTTTAATTAGAATGAACCAACTAGCCCGAACAGAAGATTTATTAATACATATATAATTATTTTGCAAAACAGCCCGACCCCTAAAAATCACACAAGCCTACAATTTCCATCATTAAAATTAGCGAACAGCGTAGAAAACTGTTGAAGAAAACAGGAGACAGGAAAAACGCTGAAACTCACACCTCAATGTATCTTTGAAAGAGAAGAAGAAAGAAAGTCGCATAGAATATACAGGCACATGCCAATGGCTAGCGATCTCTGGAGCGCGAAGCGATAGTTTGAGAGCTTTAACGCTTTAAAAAGGGGTGTTTCTTTTTGTGATAAAGCCACTGAGAGGTGAATCACGCGGCGCTCCCCCAATCCCTGTGGAATAAACGCATCAGAAGTTTCTCTGGAAAGTTTTTCCTTATATCTACCTATAATATTAGTGTTACCTCCAGAGTTGGACTACATAAAAAATTTCGGCAGTGTAACGGCAAGTGAGCATGCCCCTACGTTGAATCTAAGTGATAGGTAATGTTCACAAAGCCTCACCCCCCCCCCCCCCCCCCCCTTAAAAAGAGGGTATCACCCTACACCCTTTTGTCCCAAATAATGCAGCCCAAAACTTCATCTCGACGTAGAGCGCCTCACATTCGAACAGACGGCCCCAAATTGTACGAGGGGCTTGATGACGGTGCGATATAACTTTTTAAGTAGCTAACGTACGTATCAAAGACCACGGAAAGAAAACATTGAGTTTCTGCAGTAGGGCCAAGAAAACTTCGATTATTATTTTTTTTTTTTGTAGTCAGTAGCACGGTACACTAGCAATTTTAATAAGTTTTACTACACGGCTATCGAGCCTTTCCTAAAATTTGGGGCCGCCTCTTCGAGCGTA